CACATGCCTGTAATTCCGGCTACTTGGAAGGCTGAGGCGGAAGGATCGCTGGAGCCCAGCAGGTCGAGGCTGCGGTGGCCGGGAGCGGCCACTGCACTCCAGTCTGGGCAACAGAGTGAGACTCCAACTCAAAAAAAAAAAAGACTGAAACTCTGACTACTTTCAGTAAGGGCTTGTAATTCCCCTGCATGCATTCTTAGGGCTCTGTCTTCAATATATTTAGAGAGTGGTACATGTGGCCTCACCCTGGAGCTGAAGCCACTGGATGAAAGGAACTTTGAAGATTTCCATTTGTGTGTTTTAAGGTCTATAAGATGCTGGCTTCAGCATAAGAATCAGCTAAGGGAGAGAGCAAATAAGTTAGAGAGATAACTGTGTGCACACATCTTCTAAAAGAGGTAGAGAAACTTGCATGTTAAGTTGTGCAAGAAAGACCCATGGTGGCTAAGGAGTTGAAACTCAGGGCCTTTCTCCTTCCCTCTGCAGTGTGGACGGTGGGGAGCTGTTCGACCGCATCATTGATGAAAACTGCAACCTAACAGAGTTTGATACCATCCTGTTCATGAAGCAGATATGTGAGGGGATCCGGCACATGCACCAGATGTACATTCTCCATTTGGACCTGAAGGTAGAGTGCGTTTTGAATCCTATGAAGTGCAGACCCTTCCTACCTTTCCTCTCATGTCAGTTATCACGACCCAGTTTGGGAAATTTGTACTGCCATTTCAGGAATTAATGAAAATCTAGATTCCTACCCTCACCTCCTAATTCCCAATTTCTGTCACCCCCTAACATCCTCATGCCCCATCTTTAGGGGCTACTATTCAGATTCTCATAACTTGCCTGTGTTAAAGAATTCTACATGGCAGATGATTTCCTTAAAAAGTTAGAATTAACTTGTGTCATCCTTATGGCATTCCTCTCATTATTGGGATATAAGTGGATGGGAGGATTTTAGCTAAGTCAAAATACCCTAGTGGTGGCCAACTGTTTCAAATCTCCAAAAATCCCCAGCATGCTCCTGAAGTCTTCAGGAGCTCTGGACTTTGGGACTTACTCTCCTATGCACTGTCCAGTTGTGACAGAATACTATGGCATCAAAAACTGCTTGCAGAAGGTAAATAAATAGCTCTGAGGACACTTAAAAAGTTAATTTTTTATGATTATGTAATTAAAGAATGTTCATTGAATAAGATCTGCAAGACACCTGTGGTGTGTGGAATGCAGGACCAGAATGCCAGGGCACAGAGAAGGTAGGCAGGATACCATGCCAGAAAGGGGGGCAAGCTGTTAAAAACCCAAGCTGCCTGCCTTTTTCCTCTTATTTATTGCCCTCTCTCATTACAAAGTCTCTAGAATTGGGCAGTACATGGTCCTAGTTACAACCAGTAAAAGACCCAGACTCAGCAACCCTGATCAAGTGTAGTGGGGCTCAGTATTATAACTGCATCTTCTTGTGTGGCTCGGTCTCTTTCTCATTTTCCTGTTTGCACAACATGACAGTGAGATAAAATATATATTCTCCATAACACCCCATAGATTACAAGTCACCAGGGATTGCACAGCAAAATAAATTTAGCCTCCTTAAATGGGTTTTCGTGGACCTCTCCCCCTGCAATTTGGCTGACCTCACTGTCTTGATTTATGTGCCTTGCCTTTCTGATTCACTTTCAAGCAGGACCAACACAGAAGGAAGTGGTATATAAAATGATAAAGTCAAAGATTAAAATTCATTAGCAAAGCCCTTGGCCATGAGCCAAGTTGGATAATACATAGTTTCATGGAACATTTCTTTGAGTGCATATAGTCTGCTGCTATCCCTAAAGGGATTTGATTGGCAACTGGAACCAGGAGCAGACCTATCAGAAGTCAGGTGGCTCCACATGTGGCTTCGTAACGTTAATTGAGGACTTGTAACCGGCAATTTTAGTTATGGTTTGTATGTAAAGATCATAATAAAAGTGACAACAAGATGAGTCATCAAGGACCAGCTTTTTAGAAAGCTCCTTGGAAGGAAAAGGGCAAAAATATCAAAAATATTAAGTCTTTGTCACTACAAGGGGGAGATTGTAGGTGACTTACAAATGGTCTCCATATTTTTCAGTTTTGCAGATCTTATTCAATGAACAATCTTTAATTTTATAACCATAAGTAATTAACTGTGTAAGTGCCCTTAAAGCTATTTCTTTACATTCTGCAAACAAATTTTTTGATGCCATAGTATTCCTTCACTATTGTACAGTTTTATAAATGACTGATCAGTTATTTAAGCATGAAACCAAATGTTCTTACATAGCACTCCTTCTCTACAAATGGTTACTCACAGACATCTGTTTTAGAGATATTTTAGAAAAGGGCTTCCAAAGGTATTCTGCCCAGCCAAATGAACTATTGAATATTGATAAGGAAACACTATGTCATTTCATAAAGTATTTCTGAGTTTCCAATTTCATTTGCACCTCTTCTCCACCCAGACAGGTTGGGGTGAGGAGAGCCCGATCCCATCTAAAGGCTGAGGAAATGGAATCTCGACACTCAGAGACTAAGCTAATACCCTCCACCCCCACCCCAAGCTCTTAAGGAAGAATTGGGACTGGAATTTAAATGTTCTTAACTCTTCTTTGAAAACTTTATTTCTCTTTTATGAGTTACTTGACTTTAAATTAAATCCCTTATTTTTTCCACCTCTATTTTTCTACCCCAGTGAATGCAGGTACACTTGTAAGACAGTCTATGAACAATGAGCAGTTGCACTGCTACCTGTTTTCTTCCCCTTCACCCCAAAACTGTCAGATGACCAGAGTCTAATTCCGGGGGAACACTTAGTCAAGAGTCTTAGAGACCAAACTCAGCAAAACCTTAGAATTGGTGAGGCCAAAGAATGACTAGAAGAGAAGAGGCTTCCTTTGACATGTGACTTTCCCACAGACAAAGCGCAGAGGGAAACTGGAAGTCGGAATGTTCACAGTGTAGTGCATGTTCAGTGTGGTTGTTAAATGAATCAGGACATTTCTCTTGGAACTCATAAATCTTGGGGAAAATATTTCTCCAAGAAGGGGAAATTCATACTTAATAATTTTAGATGGGGGCAGATGACAGGTCTGAGCTGGTCTTCATCAGTCCATTGGAAAGTACTGAAGCAGCGTTCTTTTCTTTCTCCCTTCAAGGAGGCCTCTGCCTGAACTTCTGCATTATGGTAAATTGCAAAACCATGGAGAGGACAGGCAGGGTAATGTAAGGTTGGCAGGATACCCACAACCTCATCCACCACATAATTAAAGGAGAAAATACCCACATAGACAAGCCAGCCCCGAAGTGAAAGGCCTGATATGTTTTTCCTGAACATCGTATTTTTAGTTGTGGTTCAAGGACAATTTGAGTGAATGAGGCTTGTTTTCATTGCTAATGTGTCTCTTTCTCCTGGCAGCCTGAGAATATCCTGTGTGTGAATCGGGATGCTAAGCAAATAAAAATTATTGATTTTGGATTGGCCAGAAGGTATGTTTATTTGGACATAGGTGTATGAATGAAGTTAGAGGACATGATGGCTGCTCTTTCTTTGCTGAGATAAATCTGCCCCTTAGTTTTATGGCCCCATTTAGAATTAGTTTAACAAAAGTTGTGTTTGGCCCTACCTTGCTTAATTTGAGATTTGAGTGTTTAGAATTTTCTATAATGCATGCAAAAAATTAAAACCTAATACATTGAAGTTTATTAAATTAAAGCCATTAATTTAGCACGTGTAAGAGTTTGTCTTAGTCGTTTTTATTTGTTCCATCTGTACAGAAATTTACTTTAAAAAACATTAAAAGCGTAAACAAGCTTACAAAGGATTCTGGCACATATAAACTTCTTCAGGGAACAAAGAGTTTACGTGGATACATGAACGATTCAGCACATTAATGATGCATAGAAGATGGACGTTGTAAATTATTGCAGCATTCTGTTTATCATTATTACAGGCTAATTCCCAAGCCATCTCCATGTCAAGAACCATATCTGTCTTTTTTTGTCATCTATAATTCAGACATTCTTTTTTTTTTTTTTGAGTTGGAGTCTCACTCTGTCGCCCAGACTGGAGTACAGTGGCCGCTCCCGGCCACCGCAGCCTCGACCTGCTGGGCTCTGGCGATCCTTCCGCCTCAGCCTTCCAAGTAGCCGGAATTACAGGCACGTGCTACCACGCCCGGCTGATTTTTTGGTTTATTGTAGAGATGAGGTCTCGCTACCCAGGCAGGTTTCGAACCCGTGGGCTCAGGCTAATTCAGACATTCTAATTATTTGAAATGGTTCTTCCCACAACTCTTTCAGATTATTAAGGTTTTCTAGTATGAATTTTGACTTTTAAAATTGCTGAGACCTCTTTACAAGTTTTTGACACAATTGCTTAAATATGTGATTACTATTAACACCTACTTATTTGAAGTTCACTGTATAGCTAAAGTGTACATGATCTCTGATTGACACTCTCCATTCTTCTACTTTGTCTCTTAAATTCCAGATACAAACCCAGAGAGAAACTGAAGGTGAACTTTGGAACTCCAGAGTTTCTCGCTCCTGAAGTTGTGAACTATGATTTTGTTTCCTTTCCTACTGACATGTGGAGTGTGGGGGTCATTGCCTATATGCTGTGAGTAGCTCTTTTGTCTCTCTCTGATACTTGATCTTAAGTCTGTGAGGCTTTGCTATTTTGATTAAAATCCTTATTTTGGATATTTCAAAAATAAATAGCACCACATCTTGCTCAGTTGCTTTCTGGTTTCCACTGAATCCTGTGGGTGAAAGGAATGAAAAAGTAAATGTATGTCCTTTTCACTAATCGCTTTAACTTCTAAGACACCACTTAGAGCCCCAAAAGTAATTAAAACAACAACAACAACAACTCATGTCCTGACCTCCTAAATGACTCATGCTAGCCTTGTTCCTCAGAGGTGACATGCCTGGTATTTGCCATCTGAGTGTATGACAGCACTTTGCCAGCTGCAAAATACTTTAAAAGGAAGTTGTACTATTCTTCGAGGTTCACATCTGAGCATAGCTGCTGCTTTTGTGGCTGCAGTTGTTTAGTTAGGAGTTGAGGTGGAAGAAGCAAATGCTTCCTTTATTGCAATAGTAATTTATACAATCATGCATCATTATTAGATGATGCTCCCTCTCTCTCTTGTAAACGGCAGAACCAAAAAGCAACCTGTCTGTAAAGGTTTGAGGCTGTTTAAAAAGTACTCACTCTGGTTTCTGTGTCCTCTAGACTTAGTGGTTTGTCCCCTTTCCTGGGCGATAATGACGCAGAGACGCTGAACAACATCCTGGCCTGCAGGTGGGACTTAGAGGATGAAGAATTTCAGGACATCTCAGAGGAGGCCAAGGAGTTCATCTCCAAGCTTCTGATTAAGGAGAAGAGGTAACCTAGAGTTCATCCTGTGCTCTGGGAGAAGTAGGGAAAATCAGGAAGTGGTAAATATCACCAGGGTTATTAGAATTCATACTCTTAGTGACATCTATGATGCTTGTGCAAAATTGCAAAGAGAATGAGGTTTGATCCTGTTGAGCCAATTGAGTGAGATCCAGGACTGCTTAGGTCATGAGACTTGAGTGGTGCTGCACAGACTTCTTGGCCTTTCCAGATGAAGCTCTAGCAGTTGTGGACTCTTGCTGGGCCTCAGCTGGTTCATCCTCAAAATGAAGGGTTTGGGAGAAGTTATTTCTAGGATCCATTTCACCTCTATGAAGCATGTATATGGCTCAATGTAGCTGAATACTTAACAACCATTTCATCTGAGAGCCTACTAGGGGCCAGACCATGCCAAATGCTTTGTAGACATGATCTCTTTTAACCACTGCCCCCACCCCCAACTTTATGAGGTAGAAATTGTTATTATTATTTTATGGATAAGACTCCAAGTGGTTTGCCTATGATCACATAGCTAGTAAGTCTCAAACACAAGTTCCCCTTCCTCCAAAGTCACACCCTTGGCTGTCATATGTTACATGGCCTTCTATATTCTCTCATGCTAATACCACATTCATCCAAAATTCAGTGGATTAAAAAAAAGATATCAAAATATAGGGTTTGCATTTTAGAATCATAGAGGGGGAAGGGCATTGTGACTAACCCATCAAACACACTGTTTCAGATGACTTTCTACCTAAACTATATCATGGTGGATAGTATTTAACATCATCAGAGCCAGTAATGCTTGCTTTAGTGTTATTTTATCTTTATTGCTTTTAAGTCTTTAATAAACATGGCTACGAATCAATAGGTAGGAGGGTGTCATAGGAAGTAGGGGAAACAGCATAGGTCTGACACAGTGCCTGGCAGAAGATTCTTTTACTTAGGCACTTAATTGATCACCTACTACATGCCAGGAAATGTTGTTGAGCATTAAGAATAGACACATAAAGCCCAGTCCCTGCCTTTAGTAATTTACTATCTAATAGAAGGGATAGGTATTTTTAAAAACATATAATACAGTGTGGTTAACACAAACATAAGGCCAGAACTGAGTTCCTAAAGGATGAGGAAGACCAAGCCAGGCTGGGAATATCAGTCTGAAAGGAGAGACAATTCACAGACAGTGGTTTTCTCTGTCTTTAGCAGGAAGTCACAATAACAGCTGAGGTTATTATTATAATAATTATTATTTTTTGAGTCTGTCGCCCAGACTGGAGTGCAGTGGCACCCTCCCGGCCACCGCAGCCTTGACTTGCTGGACTCTGCGATCCTTCTGCCTCAGCCTTCCAAGAAGCTGGAACTACAGGCATGCGCTACCACGTAAATAATAATACCACAAAAAATAAATAATTTTTGATTTATTGTAGAGACGAGGTCTTACCAAGTTGCCTGGGTGGGTCTCAAACCCACGGGCTCAGGCAATCCACTTGCCTTGGCCTCTCAAAGTGCTGGGATTACATGCTGAGCCACCGAGCCTGACGGTTATTATTATTATTATTTGCATATTACTATACACCAGGCAGTGAACAGATTGAAAATGTTAACCCTATTGAATCTTTGGAGAACAAGAAATCCACGTTTACTGAGAAGCTGTTTTTACACATATACTTTTATGTGTTATCGTACTTAACCTCTGGATAATCCTATAGTATGTGGATACTGGCATGATTATTTTACAGATGAGGACACTCAGACTAAGAGCAGTGAAGCAGTTACATGGCTAGCTCAGAACACACGCAGAAGCAGACCCACTGGACTCCAACGCCTGGGCCCTGCTTGTTCCTTTCGATCTGAGGACTTCATTGATAACTAAGGGACATCACATACATATTTGGGCAAATGGCAACTGGCTTAGTATATAAGCCAATTCTTGGAAGAAACTGAGGCCAAAAGTGAAATACCACTATCATAGGATAAATGCCTGGAGTACAAAAATAAACTTGAAATGTTATTAAAAGTTTAATTGTTAGAACAGTGTTATTGCTAACTTTTTAATAGATTTTTTTTTTTTTTTTGAATTGGAGTCTCACTTGTTCGTCCAGACTG